CCTTCCCCAATCCCAACACCTGACAGATTCAAACGACATATTGGAAAACATGGGTGGTTCGGGTTCGGGTTCGGTTCTAGTAATTCAAAAGGCTCTCCATTACTAGTAAAAGAATTATATTAAAGAGAATGCAAGTTATACTTTTTTTTCCTAATGAATTCAATATCATTTGCAAACACATACCATATAGAACAAGGATGTAGATTAATTCCAAGGTTAGCGTTCGTACAGGAGGATTAGTACGTTCTTACACTTATATATATGCATCTAAAATTAGTGTATTTATTAGATCACTTTCGTAATATATGCATCTCAAATTCTTTACCAGTCAAAAATCATGTTTTGAGCACGAATCAAGGGGCTTCAGTGGTAAAATGATTATTGTTATTCATAAAGGTCTTATATTCGAACATTAAGTGTTTAATATTGTCGAATGATCTCCTCACCGCCCCATTCGATCCGTCATGTTGATATCCAAGACCAGACTTCAAGTCTTGCCTTCAGTTCCTTGATCCAAGCTAGTTTGTTATTCAAAAGAGTTAGTAATGACTTGATGTAGGGAATTTATCTAACTATTAGTTTCTCTCATTTGGTCCGGAAACTGAAACCTCTCTGAAATTTCCATTTCTTTTTATGGGATCTTGTATATAATCGGAATAAAGCAACTATATACCAACCGTTTTAGTCCATAATGAGCAATTTCAACATGACTAGATTTCGTGCCGTTCACGGTAAAGCTGTGGTTGCCTTGGTCCATAAGCAGAAGGTGGAGAAATGGATTGTGGAAGAAGCCTTTCCATCAGCGCTTCAACGCATTTAACTTGAAACACTTCGTAATTCGTATACTATCTGTGGATGGACATCCATAGTGTCGACTGTGAACCTCACCCCATTCGATGCATCCGAATGCTCGGATGAATGGTTTATCCTTGGAACAAACGAGTTCGAGTTTTAACCCAGCATTAAAAATGTTTTCGCATAAAAAAAAATCAGGTTCCGGGATCTTGTGATGGGAGTGATATGGAGTAGGGTATGGTAAATGAAGCAACTGCTATTGATCAGTAGAGAAGTAGTGAGCTTGACTCGTTAGGATTCGCTATCCATTCGATTCGAAGGGGAAGTTCGATCGGCCTGCTACGTCACGAGACGGTATCTTCGGACACTAAATGGAACCATGATGTTCCGCGTGCAGAGAACGTATTAATCGGGATCTTATACACCGTATTTTCCATGATTTTTTGTTGTTGGGTAAAACAGATATCGGATTCACGTTGATGAAGAATGAACTATAAATTTTGCGATCCAAACAATCATTGGCAACAATAGTGGTGGAACCCGACAGTGGAGACTTTAGTTAAATTCAATGGTCAAATTGATATTTCATATAAAATTTAAGACCAACATGATATTTAGTCTAAAGGTTAGAGGATAAATTAAAATTTATCCATTTTATTAGCTCTTCATACCATCAAACTAAATGGAGTTAATAATTTAATTATCAAAATATAACAATCGACAATATAAATCATCAAAATATATTTTTTAATTTGATGAAATAAAACTGAAATGAAACCAGAAGTTTATCCATAAAGTAAAGATACACTAAGAAGCCCATTATCCTGTACTCAACTAAAATATAACAATCTGCGTATTTGCCCTAAAAAAGTTGAGGAGATTATTCTAATTGATAAAACGAGCACCTAAAAAGCCCATGATCCTGTACTCAACTAAAAAAAAAAGTAAAGATACACTAAATTGATGAAATAAATTTGTATTAATACTAGGAACGGAGTCAGGATTTTAGTTCAGGAGAACAAAGTATAAAAATCAATAGAAAATGGGATACAAAATCAAAATAAATTAAAATTTAAAGATCTAAATCAATAATTATCCCTATTTTTAATAGTAAAAAAATTTGGAGGCAGTGGCCCCGTGGCCTGTATGGCTACGTCACTGATTAGAACAAATTCAAACTTAAGATACTTTGAATAGGGGTCGAGAGCTTAATTTCTACACCAAACTGAATAGATGACACAAGATTAATAAAAATAATATTTAATTTAAATTTTATTAAGATGAATTATATTTAGTTTTATAAAATATTTTAATTATTGAATATTTTATAAAAATATATAAATATAAATTCATTCTCTTTAGATAAAATCAATCATCATAGAAAAATTCAACAATAAGTCATTTAGTTGTTTCAATGATTAAAGAGAATATTATTTTCCTTAAAGGTCATGAATTTGAGTAGCTGCATCTGTATGGTGTGTACGTTGTCAATGATCAAAAAAAAATTAAACAGATATCATCTTATAATCACCACAAACTAATAAAAGAAATTTTCTAACTGTTAATGACACACAACGTTGATATAATCTAAATATAACGTGTCACGATTTTATTGATTCAAAACCTTTTAGTATCAATAAAAAAAATTAAAAGAAAATTCTAAAATCTAATATGAAAATTAAGCGAAGTATAAGGTTGTTCAAACATGCTTGGGATGTAACATAAAAGTTATATAAACAACCTCCCTCAGTAGGTTCAAAATTTTCGTATTAATAAAGGGTTTTCAACCTTACATTTGGTGACACAAATATTCGCATAACAAAATTTATTTATTCATATATTTACATCAAAGTTAATATATTAACATTATAGTGTCATGGTCTAACTCTATTTTACGTTATTAATAGTTTCAAAACTATTATAATTAAATTATTGTTTCTCCTAATTTTTTTTGATTTAATTATTGTTAAGATCTGTTAATTTTAAAATAATGAAATTAAGTCTTAACTTTTATTTTTTTATTTGATTACCTTTTAAAAAAATTATCTTTAAAAATAATTAAATTAAACTTTATCTCTCTTAATTTTTATGATAACTATTTTATTAAATCATACCTAACGTTATATTTTATTTTTGTTTTGGCCATCAGTCGTTAAAAAATAAACAGAACTATAAACGTGATAATTTTTTTTTCAATGATGATGCGACATTATATTACAATGAAACATTAGTATCACCGTTAATTTTTTAACAGGGGCTGGTCAAAACGTAATGTTAGATATGATTTTGAGAAAAAAAAATAGTCGGGTGACCAAAATAGAATTACGGGAATAGATGGGCAACTAAATACATAGTTCGATTACCTTAATAATAGTATTATCTCTAAAGAAATGACCATCCAGCTCAGTTGGTAGAGCACAAGGCTTTTAACCTTGGGGTCGTGGGATCGAGTCTCATGGAGGGCATTTCATAATTTAGAAGTCTCTTACGGAAGTTGCTCTCAACCTGACGTTGGGGGCAGCCTACTATCCTATCTCCCCCTTACCCCATTAATTAGCTGACCCTATTCCCATATGTAATGGGGTGAGGGAGAGGTAGGGTAGCAGGCTGCCCCCAACATCAGATTGAGAGCAACTTCCGTGGAAGATCTCCGGCAGTCAGAATTATGAATTTGACTGCAATGAAAGGTTATTTTATTGCCTTTTTTTTTAATTGTTATCAGAATTTATGATTTCTTGCTTTTTGCATTGATTTGGTTGGACTAATCTATGCTATTCGGATGTGTATTGATACCGTAATATTCAACTTTTTCCCCCTCAAAATATTCTTTTTGAAGTATTTTGGAAATTTGGAAAGAATGTAGAAAATCTACGCTCTGTTCGTGATTTTGGACTGCTATTTTTTTTTATTAAGATAATATGGTTATAAAGTAGAATATGTTTATGATTTTGGATTGCTATTTAATTATTCAATTAGGAGCACGTTGAAATTTAGTCATCATTTTGTGAAAGAAAATATATATATTCAGTCAATCAAGTAAAAAACAATAAATTTAAATTTTTAGTATTATAAAATTGATTTATTTGATTGATTAACCCAAATTAAATATTATAAGAGTATGTTATGTAAACAAATCCCCCAGTTTATTTTACTTCTTCCGCGTCATAATGACTGAAATGCTTGCAAAAATTCTGTCACCACCTTATCCCATGTAGTTAGGGATGATAATTTGACTTGAACTTGACATATTTTATTTGTCTCGTCCTATAAGATTAGCATTTTCTTAAAAAAGAAACTAAATTCAAATCAATCGGGTCGAGTATTGTGAAGGATGAAAGTAGATTAGGTTTATGGTGAAAAATATCTATTCCAACCTAAAAATAATAATATAATTGACCTCTTATATATTTATGGATAATTGTTATAACTTCTCTCTATTTTTTTAATTAGATTCTTATTTTTTTTAATAAAAATTAAAAAAAAAAAGTAGTTGAGTTAAACTGAGTTTTTGTCCTAATATTTAGAATGGATTTTGGGTTAAATAAAACTTCTCTAAACTGGATCGAATGAAGTGTCACGTGAGGGAGTAGGCCGAAAATTTCACTGAACTTGACCATTTTCCATCCCTCGTTGCGACAAACAATGTTGAATTTCAATTCACTACTAATACTATAAAAAGTAAAGAATCAGTTCATGTCAAATTAAAGCACAGAAATTAAATTTTAACTCGAGATTAATACGATGACTAAATTTATAATTTAACTTCAATAATAAAGGAATTGTTATTTTTTTTTGAGGTCCCGAGTTCAAGCGTCAAGAATGTCAAGAATGTAAGATTTTAATATCAAATTATTGAGAGTTATCTTTAAACAAATTTTTTTTTTTACATTTACACCTGATTAATAAAAAAACATTATTGAAACTTGAGAGATACATTCAGGTCCCGAGTTCAATAGTCATGAATGTCAATTGAGAATTATCTTTAAACAGACGTTTTGCATTTACACCATATTAATAAAAAAAACATTATTGAAACTTGAGAGATACATCTGAGACGGCAGTGATTCCCTCTGCTTTTTGCATAAATTGCAACACTGAGCAAATCTTTTGGTTGAAGGACACCCCTTTCTTCCTCAATGCCAATGCTATATATTTTTTGCTACAAAAAAAATTAAAGGCAATAATATAACCATGTATATGATATCCTCAATCAAATGTCATCAGCTTTCAGTCTACAAACACTTGGTGGGCCTTTTGTTTTTCAATATTCAAACTAACAACAATGTGAGCTATCTAATCATCTCGCTTAGTAGGCCTTGAAGAAAGGCCATTTACTGACGAATCGTTGGGCATTTGACGCCAGTCGTCGTCCCAATCTTGTTCCCAACCTCGAGTCGTTTCCACATTGTTAGTCGAAGCAGGCTGCGCCATTTCGAGCTGCTGGTACGGGGTTCCGTCGCCCCTTATGCCTCGCTTGTAGCAGACGCAACAACTGCCGATGATCAGACCGGTTAGGATCAGCAACGAGGCTCCATTAATGGGGTTTATATGTGTAGCCAAAGGGATGTAATCAAAGATGCCGCCGCCACTCGATGCTGCAGACACCAAGTAAATCACACACCCCATGTTCTCGGCTTCAATTTGTACGGACGAATTCCCACCAATATTTGTTGTGATTTTAACCTGTAACACCAAAAATCAACAAAAAATAAACCACCAGGTCTTGATTGAATCAATCAAAAACAGCAGAGAGAATGGAAAGTAAACCTCTTTAATTCGGTGAGGTGGTATTTGCGTGGTGTTTACATGCTTGGCCTTGCCGTGTAACATACTAACGTTCACTGTTAGGGTTGTCTCGCCTTCATTCTTCACAAGTAATATTACTTCCTTTGAACCTTCGTACATAAACATAACATCAGACATCATTTTTAGAGTAATTACAAGATAATAACCGTTCATAATCATTCTTAGCCATTGATAATGCGTACAACTTACCGGCTGACGAAGGATCGACGCACGCCGTTAAGCTTCTGTTATGACAATTACGATTTGGCTGAAGCCAACACCCAATGTTACTAGGCTCAGGCGCCGGTGATGGGGAAAACTAAAAGCCAGGGAAAAAAAATCACCCTTTTTCCTTTTTGTTATCGAAATTATTAAAGAAGAAAGGGAAATGAATAAAATACCAGTGGAGAGGGAGAGGCCAGAGCTCGAGCTTGTGATTGATGAAAGAGTAAAAGGAAAGAAAAGATTGAAACAAATTGATTTGAATCCATAGTTTGATGTTGTTGATGGACAGAACAGTCTCTGTGTCTTGAATCACACCTGTCCTCTCTCAGCTTTGATATTAATGATTCTTCTTTACCCAATTACAAGGAATTTCATTTTTTTTTTCTCGGTCAATCCATCCAAAAGCCTCTCTCTTTGGTTTCTCCGTTGACTTGGATTTTTCCACTTGGAATGTAACTTGTTTTCTTCGACGAAATTCACCCATATCTGACCAACCACGTTGTGTTGAAATAACTTTCATCCTTAATCCAACCCGGTTTAAACATCAGTTTGAACTAAAATTGTGTCAAAGGGTCTAATTCTTATACAAGTCCTTTCACTTTTACATATTTCACATCTCGTCCTTTGACTTTTAATTATGGGAATTTACCCCCTCTACTCTTTTGATTTAATAACTGAAATCTAACTGGCAACGCCCTCAAAGGGCTTTTGCGACCCTCGTAACTTTATACATATAAAAAATAATGTGACCCCTATTTTTCTCACCTAATGTGACTATTAATTTTTTTAAAAAAATAACGTGACGTTTAAGTAAAAACAATAATCAAGGTTACTTTTAGACCGACAAAAATATCATTAGTCATGATAGTTCATAGATGTCGATGTGGTGGTTCACCTATAAATGATAATGTGATAGAGAGTTTTAATCATTTTTTTTAGAATAATTGAAGGTTTAATTGATATTTTAGAAAGTTTGAGGGATTGTTTAATCGGAAAAAAATAAAAACTAAAAAATGTTTAAAAAGTTTTAAAAATATTTTAAATTTTTAAAATCAAATATTAAAAAATTTATTAAAAACACTATTAAAAATCTAAAAAATAAATCAAAATTTAAAAATAAACTATAAAATAATAAATTGTAAATTATTAAAATATCAAAATATTTAAAAGCGGGGGGGGGGGTGAAACTTAGAATGTCCCTCGTCAATCTAAGTCTCCTTGATCATATGTTCAGTTGAATTAATCTTACATAAATGTAACAATGCATGTTGATCAGGATTGTATTATATGGTTACAATTCTATACTACGTATTTTAATATCGTTGAAAATTAATTTTACAATAAAAACGTCTATGACCTCCCTTTGTATCCCTTTGTAGCGATGAGCGCCACTAACGATGATGACTGTTGATTTAATTTATAAAAAATTAAATTATAAAGAACTCAACGTATAATTATAAATTAATTAAAATTTTAAAGATGAATTATTTAAAATAAAGGGTAAACTATAACAGTGACCACCTAACTATTGTCTCTTTCCATTTTAACTAATATTTTTTAAAAAAATTCAATCAGGTCACTTAACTATTTAAATGCATTCAATTAAGTCATTTGTCGTTAATATTTAATGAAGAAGCTGGTGTGACCGTTAAAATATTTGATATAATTGAAGTAAGATAAATGAGTCGTTCCGGTTTCATTTTGAAAAATAAAATCACTTGATAGGTCTATATATACTTATAATTGGAAAAAATAATTATGGAACGTATCTTAAAATATTTTATTCATCATTTCAAGCAATAGTTTGCAAATAAAATATTAGTAACAGCACCAACCTTTATCTTAAATTATTATGTGACTTCCGTGATTAAAAATAGAGAAAATAACCTCAGTGACCAAAAATGCCTTATAATATAAGATTTTAACCAATTTTTTTAGGATTTGCCAAAATGACCAACTAAATCACAATGCGATCGATAATTCGCAACGCGATCTCCGGTATCGCAAATCAGTTTCCAGATTCGCAACGCGAACTTCGACTATCGCATTGCGATTTACATATTCGCATTGCGATAGTCCAAGTTCGCATTGCGATAGTTCAAGTTTGCGTTGCGATTTTCCAAATTCGACTATCGCAAAGCGAACTTCTACTATCGCATTACGATTTATATATTCGCATTGCGATAGTCCAAGTTCGCATTGCGATAGTCGAAGTTCGCGTTGCGATTTTCCAAATTCAACTATCGCAACGCGAACTTCGACTATCGCATTGCGATTTACATATTCGCATTGCGATAGTCAAAGTTCGCGTTGCGATTTTCCAAATTCGTTGCGATAGTCGAAGTTCGCGTTGCGATTTATTCCAAAATCGCAACGACTGGTGATATTGCATTTGTTTCTTAAGAATTTTCTCTAAAAAGATAGTATTCGCGCGGACGTGTCGAAGACACGTATGACCACGACCACAAGACGAGACGGACGGTGGCGGCGCGCGAAAGTCTCCCTTGTTCTCTATCACTCAACAAGGAAGTGGGAAAGCCAAACCTTAAATACCATTTCCAATAGTGTTTCAAATACTATGTGGGATTGAGCATTATCAACACTTGTTTCCAATACAATGTGATTATTCAGGAAACAATTAACAATCATGCACCTTAAAACAACTGAATCATCAACCAATTGCTTTAGTATTATACGATTAAATATGTTATAATTAAAAGTCAATCTACAATCAATCGTGATTATTGCAATTTTAAGCAAAACATTCAAAAATAATATCACTATTTAAGGCTCAATCCCACATAGTATTAGGAACAAGTGTTGGTAATTCTCAATCCCACATAGTATTGGAAACACTATTGGGATGGTATTTAAGGCTTGGCTTTCCCACTTCCTTGTTGAGTGATAGAGAACAAGGGGGACTCTCGCGCGCCGCCGCCGCCGCCGCCGCTGTCCCGTCCCGTGGTCGTGGTCGTGGTAATACGTGTCTTTGACACGTCCGCGCGAATACTATCTTTTTAGAAAAAATTCTTAAGAAACAAATGCAATACCAAATCGCAACGAGGAATAAATCGCAACGCGAACATGGACTATCGCAATGAATTTGGAATAAATCGCAACGCGAACTTGGACTATCGCAACGAATTTGGAATAAATCGCAACGCGAACTTCGACTATCGCTTCGCGAACTTCGACTATCGCATCGCGAATATGTAAATCGCAATGCGATAGTCGAAGTTCGCATTGCGAATCTAGAAACTGATTTGCGATACCGGAGATCGCGTTGCGAATTATCGATCGCATTGCGATTTAGTTGGTCATTTTGGCAAATCCAAAAAAAATTTGGTTAAAATCGTATATTATAAGACATTTTTGGTCACTGAGGTTATTTTCTCTTAAAAATATGAATGTTATTATTAAAGATTATGGGTTTGAGCATACGATGTATGCCGGAATATTTGGACATTTATTGTGGTTGAAAATCTAATGAACATATATTATACTTTATAATCACATAAGACTAATAAAAAAAAGTTATCACGTAACCAATGGCAGATCCAGAATAATTTTTCAGGGTAGGCATATATATATTACTAATAAAAAAAATTCGTACGAGATATATACAAATAAAATTTTAGGGTGGACACTTTTAACAAAATGAACAACTAATTTAGAAAAATTCAAATTCTAGGGTGAGCACCTATACATCCGCGACTGCACTTAACAAAATAGAAGTTTTAAAATTTCCATTTTCTACTTCCCTTTCCCTTTTATGGATTTCCATTTTGACTTCGGAAGTATCCAACACAAATAAACATGGATTTCCCTTTTCCATTGCACTCTAAGGTTCTTTAATACACCTCTGGAACACAAGTTTGGTATCTCTCCATTGCTAAATTCATTTTTCACTTCTTTCTCCTATACGAATGGAAGAACCCACGAAGAAGAAGGTATCTCTTCTTCACACTCATTTCCCCTTTCCAATAAATCAAAATAAAGAAAGAAATAACAGAAATAAAATCCATTGAAATTACTATCTGGGTGTCCGATGAAGAGCTCAATTAGAAAATGACCCAGCATTTCCACTATGGAAGACTTTGGGTAAATTACCCTATCAAACTCTTTTCTTTTATTTCTTTCAATTCTTTCCCAAACTTTTAAACTATCCTCCAATTTCTCAATCAAAACTTCAATTCGAGTCAGTTTAATCGTCGGTCAGTCCAAAACATTTAATTTTGAAATGTTACTGAATGTAGAGTCGACGACGACAAATTTCTAACATAAAAAGAAATTAAGGGGGTTACAACATGCTATAATTGAACAAGCTACAAGAAAATGGCACAAAATGTTTGAACAATTTATATATATACTTTGAAGATTCTCCAGAAATGTACTCTTAAAGAACCTCAGAGTGCAACAATTACAATCCTAAAACCAAGCTCTGCCCCTGTGCTCATAAAGCCTAAAGGCTAACAATATAAATGGGGGGGGGGGGGGAAGGGCCCCAGTTCTAGGCTTCTAGTGTTAGAATTAATTCACAACCCAAAGAGGCCAAAGTCAATCTAATAACTAGTTTGCATAATGAACATTGATGTTTGTAGGATAGATTATAGATAACAGTAAGAAAGACAAATCTGAAGTATGAGCCAAAGTTAATCAGATTATTGAGCATGATACATCCTCCTTTGACGACATAAAATCACAAGTCGAATAAATGGAAGCAGCGGCTGCCCTAACAGCCAATTCCCTGTCAAAGCTATCCCCAATTCCTGATCTGCATCACATGTTCATGACGGTTACGTAAAATGATTAATTATAAATCACTCGAGACACAAAAGCAGAAGGATATAACAATGAAGACTCTATATGCTGATATCTGCTAAATTCTTGAGCTTTATATCAGCATATATAGGTCTTTCATTGTGGTTTGCAATAAACCGGATTTAACCGATAAGGGTTGATATTTCAAGCCACCAAGCACTTGAATGAAATATTGGAGGTCAAGGATCGGTATCAAGAACGATGAATGACTGCAAAAGTGCTTTAAATCTTAGCACAATAGCAAAACTACTTTGGGATACTCAGTTTCAATATTTTTTGTTGTCATAAGAAGTTATTACTCATGGGAGGTTCCAATGGATATAAAAATCTAGGGCTTATCCATATTATCCAATCATCATAACAAAAAAACATGAGAATAAACTGTACTCAAACCTGATATTATTTTCTGATGCTCCTAGTTGTGGTAAACCATAAAGCAAATTCCAATGCATATGTTGCAAACCCTGATCACAATGTAGTTGCATACCTTTTATTTGATTCGACCAGATTTCCTGGAATATAAGCGGGAAAACAAGATAGATTATATATGCTCTCTTCGTACACATAAAGACAGTACGTATAGTTTCTTTCTAGTGAAACCTCAAGTACATTCCTTTAAATAAGGATAAACATGCCAAGTTGTTTGCAACTTACAAGCTGCTTCTCTTCTTCAGAAAGAGCTTTATCCATCTGATCAAACAGTGCACTCCATCTGGCTAGATGCATCTCGGCAGTAGCATCATGTGGAAGCCCATCAGTAGAAGCTATTACAATATTAGGATCGCCCCCTTTGTTAGAGGAGAATTCTTTTGATATTAAAAAAGGTAATTCTGTGGTAATTACAGCTCGTACTTTCTTCTTGCTACGTCGCAATGCTGCAAGTGCAATGAACAACACAAGAAAGGTAAATAAATTGATATTCTATATTAAGAACAAATTAAGTGATAGGAAATACCTGAAAGACGTCCTTTAATGTCTTGCTGAAGAAGTTCCAACCATTGTGATGCAACAGTGGCAGCTGAAACATCGATGTATTGTTTATATCATGAGGGCACTCTTTTCTTTATTACAATCACCATATAAACATGAATCATTTTTAACAACTGAAAAATACAAATTCTGACCTTTTACAGAAAGAGAAGAGTCACTAGTAAAGTTCGTTGATTCCACATTAGACAAAGAGCCAATGTTCTCAGATACTTTAGTTGATGATGATAACTTCAATGCCAGTGCATCATCATCACTGACTGGTTTTACAATGCCTGAATCACCATCTCCACTTCTTTCCTCTGAAATTGAAGAAAATGGCTGATGCATTGACACCGGATAACTTATTGCTTTCTTATTATTCGCCGTCGTCATAGTAGTAGTATTTGGAGGCCCATCTTCATGGTAACGTCGGAGATGATGAAATCCTGATCCATCCATATTTCCATGGTCTCCCTTACCATCATCATCTCTGGTTCCACATTTGACATGACTTGCCTGCTTGCTTTCAGAATGCAAATTTTCAAGTTTTTCAGACTTCACTAAGGCCTCTATTATGGAATGGACCTGTTTTCGATTTCTAACATGATTTATAATTCCAGGGTTTAATCCATTGAGCAATCCACTTGGGGCCCCGATTTTTGTGAACCTGTCTGCCTGTTCTTTCTTTGCAAGCTCCATCTTCTTGAGCACATCATTCTTACTTTTCCTCCCACGTTGCTTAGGCACTGGTATTCCCCCATGAGATGATGACAGTAAACCATTTTGCATTGACATACCTCCACGATAAGATGAAAGCAAACCACTTTGAATCGATATACCCCCATGAGGAGACGAAAGAAAACCATTTTGCTTCATCTCTTTCCAAACTCTTAGCGAGTCTTTCTCCTCGGCTGGACCGATAGAACTTCCACACTCTGAAACATCCTTTGGCTTCATATTCTTGATATGCCTGTGACGAATTGATTCATGGTTTATCGAGCTAGAAACATCTTTCACATTCAGATCCAAATCAATGCCTTTCGAGGGTAGACATTTACTCTCTTGTGAACACGGTCCGTCAAACTTTTCTTCACATTCCGAATTGTTATCACATGATTCGTTGATTCGAATGTTAGAGTTAAGATCAAGAGGCAGACAGATAGGATGGGCCATTGGAGATATTTTTACCCCTTCAATTCTTTCGACTTGGGAGGCATCAAAATTGAAGGTTACTGGAACCCCAGTAACTTGAGATACCGCTGCTCCACTAAACTGCCATTGCTGACTAGAATCTTTTCGTTTCATAGATTTCGAATTGGGGCCATTGATTTCTGTTGCACAAATGGGTGAAAAACAAACACACATTCTTGTATAACAAATAGGAAAAAGATAAGGCTGCAAAGTAATTTTCAGTCCAAATGATTTAAGAAGCTCAATTTACCAATACTTCAAGTAAAAAAAAAAAGCATAAAAATTTACCCTCGAAGCGTATGACAGAATCAAAATCTCTCATTTTTGTTCCTTTAGGGGAAACATCATTTCTTTCTTCCAATTCATCCATACTTCTCTTTACGCCCACCGTCTAAAAAACAATCAAAAACCAAGAAAATCAATACAAAAAAATTTAACGAAACCAAAAAAAAAGGGGGAAAGGGAGCAAAAACCCAACCTTGGAATCAGATACAAGCATCAAAACCAAGCCTTTAGAAACCATGGCAGAATCGGCTTGGTCTTCCATCTCTTTGAAAACCCCAAATTTTAAATTTCAAAAGTTCAACAAGAACCGAGTAGGGTTGAGAAAGAATCAAGAAAAGCTCTAAACTTTGGAACAATAGAGAAATTGCTGAAAAGGGTTTTCGAGATTATGTAAAACTAAAAGTAAAGTTCAAAGTGAAGAGAGATTGATGACTTTACTGAGGATCAGATCTGCCGGGTTTTATTTGAATGCTATTGTTTGTTAGTTCAAAATTGAGATTTGGTGTTTGTTTCTTTTGGATTTGAATTCGTAGGAGAGAGAGAGAGAGGGAGAGCGCCCTTTGGATGATTAACAAACGATTCTGTCTCTGAAATTTTTATAGGTAAAAGTAATTCGGATTGTTTTGAAGTGAAGTTCATGTGTTTTGATGGTTCAATTTCAAATGCGGGTTTTAATGGAGGGAGTTCCCGCCCCCCGCCTTTGTAAATCACGTGCCCACTTCTCAACCCTTCTGTTTGCTTCCCTTTTTTCACATAAAATATTGAATATCAATGTATTTTCGCATGTTGGACTGCGGCGTCATCAACTAAAAAATTTAAAATCGTATGTATTTTATATATTTTTTTATATTTTGTGTGAATTATTTAATTTCGTATTCTTAAGATTTTATAATTTTATATTCTTAAAATTTTAATATAATTTTTTTTATGTTTGTACTCCTAACACAAATTTTGGTGCTAGTCCGGGTTATATGTCTAGGACAAATATTTAAGTGAGGGTTTAATTTTTTTTTATAAATGTTTACATAAGAGTTTTTTCTTTCAAAAATAGTTCTCAACATTATTTTTGTGATGGATTAAGAATATCGAGCCTTGAAGAGCGCACTTTCGGAAAATCGAATCATCATTAATTATTGTAGGTTAGGTATTATTAAATACATATAAACATTTTAGAAAGGTATAATATAAAAATAAGTGCCTAAACTATATTTAAAATTAACTTTTGGTGTTTAAATAATTTTTCGTTAAAAATATGAATCTAAAGTTTTTTTCGTTATATTTTTAGATGCTCGCTAATGGTTTTTTAACAGTAGACACCTAAAAATATAACGGAGAAAATTTTATACATTTATTTTTAACGAAAAATTCTTTAGGCAATGAAACGTTTTTCAATGTATTTTTTAGGCACTTATTTTTGTATTAAACCTTTTAGAAAAATGATATTTTAGAGTCTAAGTTTAAACTTAGGGTGCGTTTGGTTCACGGAATATAAGATTACCAGTGGGAATGTAAGATTACCAAGGAATAGCATTACTGGGAATGTTGTATTTTGTGTTTGGTTGGCTTAGCAGGAATGTAAGATTACCGTGTTTGGTTAAAGGAATAAAAGATTATTGGAATGTATATTTGACCAAATTGTCCTAATTATATATTTGTGTAATATTACAAGTTGGAAAATATTTATATATTTTCTTTAAAAAAATTAAATTCATAATATTTATATATTTTTTACAAAATTAAAAATAAAAAAAAGTTTAATGAAAGGGTAAAATTTTATTTAAACCCTTGAACTTTATATAAAATTTTAATTATAGATTTTTTTTTGTAAATCTAAAATAATTTAAGGATAAATTTGTAATTTAACATTCGTAAAATTTTTATTATTCGATGACAGAATAAATATATTTTTGAAAAAAAATAAAAATTTAAGGGCATTTTAGTCCAAAACGCCGGTAATCCAACAATACCTAAGAAAAGGGAGGTAATGACATTCCCGGTAATATACCCCAAAAAATCCACTATTGGTAATCTTACATTACCGGGAATAGGATTCCCAGGCTAACCAAACGGGGGAATGTGGATTCCATTCCCATGGGAATCCCACATTCCCCAATCCAAACACCCCCTTAGGGTCAAGGTTGAGTTCAATAGTTTGTTAGAGTGAGGAGAGTTAAAAAAACTCCCACACAATTCAAAAACTAATATCTTATTCAGAAAATACATATTGTATCAATTTTTTTTAAAATAAATGAAATATATATATATATATATTAATGGTAATTATAATAATAAATATTTATTGTACATACAATAAATAGGTAAATAAATAATATTAAAAGAAATTAAATAAATAACATGTTAGGTCTAAATTAAAAGAAATAAAATTTACAAGGGTCAAAAAGGAATTAATATGAAAAATACTAAATTGAACAAAAATATAAATAAAAGTGGCAAGAACAATAGGAAAATATTAAAAAAAAAGGAAAATATAAAGTGAATTATATATTAAAGTAGAGGGGTTAAAATTGCAGTTAGCCCAAAGCCTGAAGCATGTGGATCCAAAATGAATTCAGGCCGAATCAGTTGGGTCACAGGTTAACATCAGATTAAATAGCCTAAAGCAGCATCAATTTGAGCCTGATATTATTTGGGAGGGTTTAAATACTATATTTTCAATTCATGTTTTTATCATTTTTCCTATATTTTTTTCCATGTGTTATGTCTCTAAATAAGTTATTATCGGTTATCATATCTTTTTTCGTCAAACATCGTATCAACAGTCGTCACCGATGATCGATAAGATTTAAAAGTCAACAATAATTATGTCTCGATCCTCCGAGTCTAAATTCGATAATTTCATTAAGAAAACTTTAAATTATATAATTCTGTGTCGAGACCATTCAACTTCGCTTTCTCCAACCTATGTTTTCAACCGTTCCCTATAATTATATGTCATATATGTTGTTTTTCAGGTTTCAACTTCTTACGGTTTGAATTAATGATTTTCTTTCTTCTCTCCTTTTCAGCAGGTTCCCCTGTCCTTTTATTTCCTTTTTGAAGCAGGGTTTAAATAGAAGAATTTTAGGGTGTTTGTTGAATGGTTCCTGGCAGTGGCAGTGGCAGATCCAGAAATTTAAGAATGGGGTCCAAAATTTTAATTTTCTTTTCTTAAAAATAATGAGTATGCAAAAATTGTAATTTTTTTTCTTTTTTCTTAACACGTTAAGTTAAATTTAACCAATTTTCTAAAATAATGGGATGCACTTGGCCCCTATGAGGGCTTAGTGCATCCGCCACTCGTTCCTGGTGGTTTAGGGAAAGGGACAAGAGTTGAGAAATATTTTATTAGGTAAACACAAGGTAGTATATGTTCAAAGATAACTTCCAATAATTTTATATTTAATGTTCACACCCCTATCATTTATGGTGCTCAAATTGGGACCTCAAAAAATAACAACAATTATTTTTACTATCGAAATCTCTTGGTTCATACGGTAAGTTTAATTTTAAAGATTATTATATGTCAATGTAGATAAGGGGATTTATTGGATTGGGCTTCTAGGTTAGCCCATAGCATGTTCAGGCTTGGACTCAAGTAGAATTTAGTGTTAACCAAGGATTTAAATAACCGTCTTCTATCGAAATAGCGACTGTTATATATTAATAAATGTAGTGTATGAAATCGTAGTTCCACAATCGCGATACCCGAAAGAATTGTAATAACATTTGTTATTATCGCGATCGCAATAAATGTAACATAATCAAAATTACAACGGCAATCGCAATTTAAATTCATGGTGTTAATACTTTTAAGATGATATTTCACTTCTTTGCACTTGAAGAGATAGGATTTGTTGAAGATAATATACTCATTCGTACTTAATGATATCAAACTCTAATGATGATAATTCAATGATTTGCAACTAAACATATAAGATTTGTTGAAGATAATATGTTTATTCACACTTGAGGATAAGAGTGAGTAAAACTATTACTCACTATGTACCATTAAATATGTTAAACGATTAAATTTTATAAAATGTAATTTTAAAAATCTACTTCATTGAATGTTTTTAAAATCTGTTTTTTTATATTTTTTCAATAATAAATTTTAAATAATAATGAGTTAAAATTATACAAAAAATAACAACAACAACAAAATCAATAATTCTTGATTTAATAGGACAAAAAAAGTATTATTTAGATACAGTCTATGGTAGACATTCATAGGATGGACCAAGCTGTTATTATCTTGCCATGGGGGTTCATGAGATGACCCCCACTCGTCATCCATGCATTAGAAAGCTGACCGAAAATTGATTTCTTTGAAAACATTTGAATTGGATTGGCCGGAAACAGATTCTTAATATTCAACTTGTTTTGTTTTTACTGTTAATTTTCTTTCCAACTGTTGGAATGCGCAACTTTCTTTCGATCCAAACATGCAATGATGGTTAATAACCGACTAATCTAATTTCTGAATTCTTGATTTCTCTAAGAATCTGAGATTAATCAAGAGGACCACAATTACATATTCAAAGGCACTGCAAATTGCTACCAATAATACCTTATCAACAAGAAAAATTAGAAGAAGAAAGAATCACATGTGTTCGTTTAGGTTGAATTCCCCTGCAACAGCCAACAGTTCTTGAGCTGAGAAAAAGCAGTTTCTCTGAAACTCTGAACCTTCACCAAACAAAAATGGGTGCACTTTAACCCTAGCCCCGAACTCACTCTACAAGTCTTCAACAGATAGCAGGCCGGCGCAATCCCACGCCCTTGGCCTTGTACCGCAATCCCCCATGCCCTGCAACACGCATCGCCCTTTTCATATTCTCCTTCTCCTTCTTCCTCCTGTATTTGCTCTACAAAAATCAGCCCGTCAGGCACTGTACTCTCTCCTTTCTCCCATCTTTGTTTCACCGAAACCCAGTTGAGTTCATCGGCCTTTTCCGTTCTGGTTCTCGTCGTGTTGTCATCGTCGGAGTACACGTGGACCAATAGAGGCGACTCCTGCAGGTTCTTGACGATATCGGCCACCGAATCTCTCATCCACTCGTCGATCTTGTGGTAGAGCACTGCGTTACTTTTCTTCTCTTGTCGTTTGGGCAATGGTTGGAGATTTACCTTGGATGTGGAGATCCTGGTCGGCGGTCTCGGTTTCAACGATTGTGGATTTGAAACCATGAGAGAACGTGGACGCACGTTTGGGTTATGGGAGTTGAAGAGATGAGAGGGTTCTTGGCGTTGAAGACAAACGTT